AAACGCTGTGAGCCCCAGTTCCTGCTCTACGAACCCTGAAATGGGCAACAGCACTGAGGTCCGCAACACAGGCCAGCTGGGAAAGCACTTCCTTGGTAGCAGGGCGATGCTTTCTAGCAGTGACATCTTGCAGCCTCGTTTTGAGAAGCATGTGCTTGCTTCAAGCCTCTAAGCTTGCAAATTGCACCGTGAATGCGATGGTGATGGTAGGAGGAGGATGATGAGCAGAAAGCAGGGCAGAAACAGGAAGATGCTGTCATCATCACGATGATCGTGATAATGGTGCTGCTGATGATGGCGACAAGGAAGAAGATGGAAATTATGGTGCTGAAGAAAGAAGCATAAGACCTTGAACAAATGAACATGAATGTGATGATGTACGCGGGGACGGTAACTGCAAGGACCAATTGTTGAAGGTGATGCTAACGAAGATGAATAAGAGCCTTATGGGGAGCAGACGATGCAAATGGAGATGAAGATGCTGGTGACTTGGTGATGATGATAGCCATATGGGCGGTGACAATGGGTGTCGTTGCACATTATATAAGATGTGCAGAAAGTTTCGCAGAATGGCACGGATGGCACAAATGATGACTGTGATGACGATAAGACGCACAAAGAGACGGCGATGCTGGCGAAAATCGACATTCACAGTTTGGCGTCGGCGATGACGTGCAATGGCATGCAATGAAGAGAACTGAAAACCGTGATGCTACTGATTGCGGTGGTGCTAACCCTCAAGACCATGATCATCATGAGGGCGATGATGACAACAAGTTAATGAGGCTGATTGCGATCATGCGACGATGATTTTCGTGGAGTCAGATTAGCCGTAAGTGTGTTATATACAGCTAGCAGCTATGATGATGAGGTGGCGGCTGCTGTGGCACTTATCTGATGGAGGCTGAACTTCCAGGATGGGGAGTTTTCAGGCTCGGACGGTACAGGGGTTTCAGGAAGAGCGGTACTTCACACTGAGGGCTTAGGGTTTAGGCTTTAGGGTTTTGGGTTAAGGGTTTAGGGTTGGTCCACTCTTGACGCAGGGGGAAACTCAAGGCCCTACAGCTCTCCGCTCCCGCTATGCCGGAACCCCTGAGCCGCTCCCCGAAAAAGTAACAGCTGCCCAGAGAGCCCAATACCCCTTAGTTAAGGAATATAGCTTAAATCATAACCTGAAGCCCAATACCCCTCAGTTAAGGAATATAGCTCAAATCATAATATGAAGCCCTATATAATTTAAGCCATATTCCTGGATTAAGGGGGCTCTCTGAGTAGTAGGAACCCTTGTAGCAACTGTTGTATGAACCGTTACAGCAACCCTTCGGGCAACCCTTATAGACGACCGTGCTTTCCAGGCAGCCCATAGAGGCCACTTGGTGGTAAAGAGGTCGAAGAACGGTGACCTAGTGCTCTGCAAGTCAGAGCTTGGGTGTCGGTGCTTCAGGCTTGAGGGCTGTGAGCCCTGGGCTTTAAGTTTAGAGTCTTTTGCAGGTTTTGGTCGGTTATTGTGTTGAGGGTTGGGTCTGCAAGTGTGAATTTGCTTTTTTGTAAAAAACCCTTCGACCATCTCTCCCCAATCTTCCACTGGGCGCCGGAAAGGTGGCAGGAGAAAGGACGCCGTCGAAGACACGGGATATGTGTACATATACAGACACATCTACGTATATGTATACGTATGCATTTACGTTTTAATATACATATTCCAACAGATATACATACCCATATTAAACGATATACCTACATACATACACATATACCTACATACATACATACAGACATACAGACATACAGCCATACAGACATACGTACGTACATACATACATCTGTGCGTACATACGTACATACAGACGTACATACTTACATACATATGTACGTAGGGGTATGTATGGCATACCTATGTATACGTAAATACATGTATACGAATCTGTACAAGCATGTATGCATGTAGATACATGGACGGAAGGAAGAATGAATAAACGAAAAAACCAACTAAAAAATGAATGAATGCGTGAATGAATGACTGGCTAACTGATTGACTGAGTGACTGCATGAGTGAGTGAATGGACGAGTCGTGCGTTAACGAATACATCAACGAGTAAAGGAAGGAAGCAAGGAACGCATGGAGGGTGGCAGGATGGAAGGAAAGAAGGACAGAAGGAAGGAAGGGATGCATGATAATCAGATAGGAATGTGCAAATGTATGCATACATATATAAGTATGCATGTATGCATAGAAATACATGTGTACATACCTAATGATGTGTGTTTGCATACTTTTTTACTTGTTAATTTTTTCGCTATCAATACAATATGCGTACATATACTACTATATTATATATACCTATATATATATATGTATTCAATCTTCAGGCTCAGGATGGATTCGCTAAGGCCGAGCACCAGTTCAGCTTTGACGACACCCACGCACTGATCGTGTCCTGCACTGGAACGGGGAAGTTACAAGCCCTCCAAAACCGCCCGGTGTTCTCAACTAAAGGTTCCCTTCTTAGGGTTTGGGTTTGGGTTTAGGGTTTAGGGTTTAGGGTTTTTAGTTTAGTCGTTGGATGCTTAGCATAGAAGTGGCCGTTTGCTGTAGTGTCGGCTCAAAAGCGGACCGCGCCTCAATAGTAAGCATCGTAATGTCTTTGGAATGCGTCCCTAGCTTGATACAAGTCTACCCGAAGTACCTGTGCGATACTTACTTATTTCAGCAATGATCTTGCTGCAAGCACGGCCAGCTAGAGCATCTGTAGGTACATATGGGTAGTTCTCTAGATTAGGGTCCCTTTTGTGGTCCCCAAAATAGCACGGCACCCTTATACAAAGGGACCCTAGTTTAGAGAACTACGCTGTGTTGCAAAATAGCAGGGCTCCGTACAATCCAGTATAACACGATGGTACTAGCAGTTGACACAGGGTTGGGGGTCATTATACTATAATTATAATAAGGAACACCCCAGAACTAGTATTGGTAATTATTTGGGAGTTTCCGAAAATAGGGGACCCTAATATAGTACCCTAAATAATAGGATCCTTATTATAAGGACCCCAAAAAATTTTCGGAAACTCCCATTTAGATCTCTACATGAGCAGCTTGGAGCCCCAAGATCGCAGTGTTCAGAAGAGCTCCCTCTTCGAGGGAGCGATCTGTGGGGGGCCGGAGACGGAGATCCCTTTGCTGGGGACCAACCGGGAGCAATAGCGACGAAGCCTCCCCTCTAATATACCCTAAATACCCTCTGTTATACCCTAAATACCCACTTTTAAGGACCATAAGGGCTCTATTAAAGGGCAAAAGCGATGCTACTGATGAAGACGAAACTGGTCACGATGCTGAGGGTGATGGCCACCGTAGTACTCGACGACGGCCACAATGAGTCTACCCGCTTTCCAGAAACAACAGGTACGGATATACTAGAAGTGATCATTAGTAATTACCTGCACATCATCATGGTCATGAGTATTCTGCATCGGGTGCAAGCAGTGCTCATGACATGACCCATAACCCACATCCAGCCTGCGCAGAGACGATCAGCGAGTAGACCATGTTTTGCGTGTCTTTCAGGGATCCCTCGCAGTGAAGGCTGTTGTTCATGAGGCCTCTTCAGGTTTGTTGAAGAATGATGCATGTTAGTGTCTAGGCACTGCGTTGCTTCACAAGGAAGATTTAATACGGGTCTTTGTAGTGCTATGTGGGTATTACAATCCACGGTTGTTACACGGTTTCGGGCGGATACCTTAATCCGCATGTAGAAAAACTGCAGCAGGTCGAAGAAGCTTGCGAGTTCTTCTGACTTCGAAAGTCCCAAAACACTCGGTGTGGAAGATCGTTGAATAATGACGGCTGCCAAAGGTGATAATGTCCACCCTGAACGCCTCTATGGCCAGTGCTACAATTGCCTTAGCAGCTCTGAAGCACGAAACGCCATGCCAAAAATGAGTACACCTGAACTGGTTGCAGAGCCTATCTTCTTAGATTGAAGGGTTTAGGCCACGACTTCGTGTTTAAGGCTTAGCGCCCTACCCCTTCAAAGCATCCTGCAGTTAGCCCCTCGCCGGCCCGGTGCCTGGTAGGTTCCCCGGTTGCGAACCATGTCCAAAGCTAGGGACAACAGGGCCACTGCATTGCCTCTCGTGGATCCCGGGGAGTTGGGCTTTGGCTTTTTTTTGCTGTTGCAAGGCTTTCGTCCGTATGGCTTTGGATCTTCGGATTTGGGGTTTCAACATCCAGGAATCCAGGAGTCAAACTACACGGTTTAGAGCCGGGAATGCGGGGGCCTCCAGCTCAAGGCTTGGGACCTCAAGGGCCAGAAACTCTGACAGTGAAAGCTGCTAATATGCGGACTGAGACAGGCAGAGAAAGGAGTCAAATCAACTGATCGCGAAGCAGCAGACAGTCAGTCCTGGAAGTCACAATGTTAAACTTAATGCAATATAGGTAGTAGCAGCTGCATCGGTACCACCACTACGCAGGTCAGTGGCCTTCATATGATGTGTGCGTACTGAGGCCGATAATCACGAAACAGTGAGATGCATGGCATCAATGCATGTTATTCGTACATACACAGGAAACATACACATAGACACATACATATACGTGTGCACATGCAAACACTATCACATCCATATACATGCAACGTACATACACGCGTCATACACACGCTTATAGACGCATCAACAGTGTACACAATCATGTGCATCATACATATGCACATATACATCTACATACTGATATGTACAGAGTTAGCTGCAGTTAGATTTCAGAGCTATATGTATGACATGATTATGGTTATTGCTGTTAATATAATTCACTTATGTTTCCAAACACAAACCGTGCTCAAAGTTTCCCGCTCTGATATAAAATCGATTCCAATCATATCTATAGTAAACGTGGTAATGAAAAAGCTCGCAATCTGCCAGATCCAGACATCGCTCTTTTTTCTTCACACATATGCTCGGTTTGCGAGAAGGGGAAACCTTCGTCGAGCCTCCCGGCCGCCTCACCCCGCTTCCAAAACGAGGCTCGCGACCCAGCTTTCGTCAAGCAGAATTCTCGCAGCACCAAGCTTGTGAAGTCGTTCGAAGTAAAAGCGACTCGGATCGTCAGCGATGTTGGAATGTGATGGAACACGAGCGTACCAGGCGTGCTGGCCTAGCTCACACTCAAGGGCAGTGGCTTTGGAGATGATAAGGTCCGCGATGGCAGTGCCACCCGCCCCCTTGATCATCCCAATCCTTGCCGGCTCGTTGTCAAGATAGTAAACGGTTTGCTGGTGGGAGGATAACTTTCCCCAAACGTGCATCGCGATAAGCACTGGCAGAAGCTCAAGCTCATAGATAGGATGAGTCGACGTCGCAAGCAAGTGATGCATCGCCTCACGGCTCACTTCCCCTGTAAAGTAAGCAACACACCTACCATGAGGAGAGACCAATACTCCTCCGAAAGAGCCTCGACCTTGCTCGAACGCACCGTCTGTGAAGATACAAGTGGTCTGCAGTGCCATTGCCGATATGGTCACAGGCAGAGCATGACAGATGCGCCTCCTAATCATGTGTAAAGCCCACTTGACATCAGCAGACAGCTTCACAGTACCACTCGAGCCTTGAGCATGGCGACCCACATGCTTGACAGCCACTTGAGCAACTCTACCGAAAGTGAATCCTTCGAAGAAGACGAGTCGTCCTCTGAGCTTCTCCGCCTCCTTCGTAGTCATGCTGCCGTCCGCAAGGATGGAGTCAATGCACGTGGTCAGCTCCTGCTTCCTAGCGTCGGTGTGCCCGACGACAATCGAGCCGCACTGAGCTCGCTGCAAATCCACGTTCCAAGTGCCGCAAAAGAATCCGCAAACTGTGGAGCTTTCTTGCCCTCGTTAGCATAATCAAGTCCAAGCAGTGTAAACATGCGGTCGACACAGGAGCTCGTGTTCTCGAGCAGCGGTTCGCTTGTGACAGTTGGGAAGTCATCGTAATAAGCGGACCAGCACAGCTCCAGCCCAACCAGACTGATGGACCAAATAGCCATGGACAGCCTGAGGAATCCAGCAACAGAGCCCACTGCACCGAAAGGAAGACTGTTGGCTCCAAGGAGGATGGGCTGTGCCGCACCAGGCTTGTTGACGACAATCCTCAAAAGTTCCCGAGCTGCAGCGCTTATCCCAAATTGACGATAGGCCGCTTGAAGATCACACGTGCGGCCGAGCCAGCGACAGGTGGCCTTGCCGCCACAAAGCTCCAGAGCGCGCCGCAACATAGCTGCAAGAATGTCGATGGAATGAACTCGCATCTTTTCCGGAAGCCCAACGGTGCAGTTGAGACCCCCAACACTGCAGTCATCGATCGTTCGCAGCTTAAGTTTTTGAAGAAGGCCAAACCGGTGTGCAATGATTTTTCCTTCCCAGCAGCCAGACTCATCTATCCAGAACCATCCCTTAGCGATCTCCTCCTCCGTCTCGGCCCAAGTCTTCTGCTCAACGTCGTGATCCTGTCTCTTAGCGAGGCGCCCTTTCACCAGAGCGTGAAAACCCTTGTTCATGGCGACGACGGTTTCCACAGACATTGTAGGCGCTCTCGGGTTGCTCGCGAAAACCTGCGACTCGGCCATCCACCCAGTGAGAGGCAGACCCTGTTCGACCTCGTCAAGGATCTTAACGTCCGGGTAACCTATCTCGCGTAAGAGCTCCTTCCAGAGGAGGATGCGCTTGCCCTTGAGCAGCGCCTGTATGTGGTGTGGCCTCCGCATGTTCGCCTCCATCTCAAGAGGATCAAGTTCGGCAGCACGACTCTCCCAACGTCGGAGAGTGCACAGCCGGCGCTGGATGACCGCTTCCGGAGGATCGCAGAAGTTGGCCTTGCTCGCCCGGTCCACCGCCGGGCACACATGCCTGGCCATGTCCATTGGATGCCCTGCTTCCACCGCTTTTCGTATGAACTCCTCGGGATCGCTGGGAACTCCAACGAAAACAGTTTCAGTAGAAGAACGGCCCAAACCATCAGCATCAGGTACGCGATCCTCAGCAGCGTCGATTCCCAAAACAAAGCCAAGTTCAGCACATCTCTTCTGATCTGCGCAACTCATAGATGTCGCGCCCTGAACATGGAAGGCCACAAGAAGAATCCGCTCGCCCGACCAGTCGTCAGTAGAATGCACCAGCGCCGCATCGAGCTTGGCCGGGTGCTGCGACACTTCAAGCACAAGTTCGGGTTGCTGTGGATCCGCCGGGCGAACTCTGACAGCCCCTGCTTTGAAATCAGAGCAAGGGATGAGAAGGTTGGGCACACCGGGAGTGTTGTTGACATCCCTGTGGGGGCAGGTCTTAAGGTTCCTAAACAACCCAACCGAGGAAAAAGCACACCTAGGGAAAACAGCCTTAACAACCGGCAGTGGTCCTCGGATATGCCACAGTGTTGGACCTGAGGCCGGCATGGCCGGAGAAGTGGAAAACCCCTGAGGTCCACGTCTTTGTGGAATCGAGGCAGTCACCCCTGCTCTTGGCGAATTTCCGATCAGTGGGCAACACATCAAGCAGCATGCGCAGCTCTGCCTTCGCGATGAAACCTTTCTGAAAACACCGATCGCTCAAGCACTCAGCTTTGCAGCCCTTGTGAAGAGGTGCGTTGTCAGGAAACGGACAATGGCTAAAACAGGCAAGCGAAACATCCTGAATGTCGAACGAGCCCTGCCTGGGCTTGCAAGTGAGATCCACAGTATCGAGATAATCGCCCACAAGGGCAACTTCGCCGGGACTCGATCCCCCACTCAGAAAACGCGAAGTGACCTTGGCGCCATTGGGAAGAGTACGCATGAACCTCAGCAAGGCGCCGGACTCAGGATACGTCAGCACTTTGAGGTAGCGGCCAAACTCGGGCACGAGGGGCTTAAGGACTTTTCCTCGAGGAAGAGCCCCAAGCACCAGCCGAGAAGCAGCCGCACATGGAACATGTAGCTGAGAGCTCAAGCAGACATGTAACTTAGCGCCCTGGGCAGAAGCAAAATGCAACAAGCATGAGACAGCTCTTTCAAGGAAAAGCGGAGGCAGAGAGACATCGTTGCGATTTCTGCGCCGCAATTCACCGTCCGCCACCTTGGGTAGCCATGCATCATGAAAGTGACATCCATCGCACTCGAGCTGCAAGGATTGCATGATGTCATGAGACGCAAGAACAATGGTCCTTTTGGGAAGAGAACCACCATGCATGCATGCATCGAAGCAAAAACGAAAAGAAACTAGAAGACAATTGGCCCGAAAGCATCATCAGCGAAGATTGTGGGGCTATGTGATAGATCCAGTGTATAGGATCGTAAAGTCACAGAGTCAAGAGTCATAGAGTCCATGAGTCATGAGTCATAAAGTCATAGAGTTGCAGTGAGATAGCGTCATAGAGTCGTAGTGAGATAGAGTCACTGTATAGGATCGTAAAGTCACAGAGTCAAGATTCGACCAAGCCAATCCCTGTGAAGGGTTCCGCGGGCACCGCAAAATGTGTAACTTCACCTCGCGTTCGAACACTCGACAACGCCAATCTGTGTGAAGGGTTGCAAAATTCATCTCAATGCTCATCCAAAAATTGCAACTTTACCTCGCGATCGAACACTCGATTTTGCAATCCCTGTGAGGGGTTGCAAAATTCATCTCAATGCTCATCAATAATTGCAACTTTACCTCGCGTTCGAACACTCCACCACACCAATCCCTGTGAAGGGTTGCAAAATTCAGCTCAATGCTCATCAATAATTGCAACTTTACCTCGCTTTCGAACACTCCACCACGCCAATCCCTGTGAAGGGTTGCAAAACTCAACTCAATGCACATAAAATAATCCATCTCAATGCTCGTCAAAAAATGCAACTTTACCTCGCGTTCGAACACCCGACCACGCCAATCCCTGTGAAGGGTTGCAAAATGCCAATCCCTGTGAAGGGTTGCAAAAAAAAATGAACTGCACCCAAACCCTGTGAAGGGTTGCGCGGCGCCCGCAAAATGTGTAACTTTACCTCGCGTTTGAACACCCGAGGAGGCGAATCCCTGTGAAGGGTTCACGGCGCAAAATGTGTAACTTTACCTCGCGTTTGAACGCCCGAGGCAGCGAATCCCTGTGAAGGGTTGCACGGGCACCGAAAATGTGTAACTTTACCTCGCGTTTGAACGCCCGAGGCAGCGAATCCCTGTGAAGGGTTCACCCGGGCGCCTAAAATGTGTAACTTTACCTCGCGTTTGAACGCCCGAGGAGGCGAATCCCTGGGAAGGGTTGCACGGGCACCGCATTAAGTTAACTAGAAGACAATTGGCCCGAAAGCATCATCAGCGAAGATTGTGGGGCTATGTGATAGATCCAGTGTATAGGATCGTAAAGTCACAGAGTCAAGAGTCATAGAGTCCATGAGTCATGAGTCATAAAGTCATAGAGTTGCAGTGAGATAGCGTCATAGAGTCGTAGTGAGATAGAGTCACTGTATAGGATCGTAAAGTCACAGAGTCAAGATTCGACCAAGCCAATCCCTGTGAAGGGTTCCGCGGGCACCGCAAAATGTGTAACTTCACCTCGCGTTCGAACACTCGACAACGCCAATCTGTGTGAAGGGTTGCAAAATTCATCTCAATGCTCATCCAAAAATTGCAACTTTACCTCGCGTTCGAACACTCGATTTTGCAATCCCTGTGAGGGGTTGCAAAATTCATCTCAATGCTCATCAATAATTGCAACTTTACCTCGCGTTCGAACACTCCACCACACCAATCCCTGTGAAGGGTTGCAAAATTCAGCTCAATGCTCATCAAAAATTGCAACTTTACCTCGCGTTCGAACACTCCACCACGCCAATCCCTGTGAAGGGTTGCAAAACTCAACTCAATGCACATAAAATAATCCATCTCAATGCTCGTCAAAAAATGCAACTTTACCTCGCGTTCGAACACCCGACCACGCCAATCCCTGTGAAGGGTTGCAAAATGCCAATCCCTGTGAAGGGTTGCAAAAAAAAAATGAACTGCACCCAAACCCTGTGAAGGGTTGCGCGGCGCCCGCAAAATGTGTAACTTTACCTCGCGTTTGAACACCCGAGGAGGCGAATCCCTGTGAAGGGTTCACGGCGCCCGAAAAATGTGTAACTTTACCTCGCGTTTGAACGCCCGAGGCAGCGAATCCCTGTGAAGGGTTCACCCGGGCGCCTAAAATGTGTAACTTTACCTCGCGTTTCAACGCCCGAGGCAGCGAATCCCTGTGAAGGGTTCACCCGGGCGCCTAAAATGTGTAACTTTACCTCGCGTTTGAACGCCCGAGGAGGCGAATCCCTGGGAAGGGTTGCACGGGCACCGCATTAAGTTAAACTAGAAGACAATTGGCCCGAAAGCATCATCAGCGAAGAGTGTTACGCTACGTCATAGAATCCAGTGTATAGGGTCATAGAGTCACCGAGTCAAAAGCACGGAGTCACAGAGTCGGAGTGTCACATACAGTCAAGAGTCGTACAAGTCATAGTTCATAGAGTCATCGAGAAATAGAGTCGAGTACATGTCAAGCACAAGTCATAGTTCAAAGAGTCATAGAGTCATATAGAGTCATAGAGTCACAGTGAGACAGAATCATAGAGTCATAGTGTTATAGAGTCATAGCGTCAGAGTGAGAAAGAGTCATAGAGTCATGGAGTCATCTATGTACCACGCACTTGACTTGATGTAGTTCACTCTATGAACACTAATGTTCAGGTTTAGCGGGTTTAGGGTATAGTCCAACATGACGCAGAAGTCTTCCTTTCCTAGCTCCGGAACCTCACTATATAGACATCCCTGATTACTGTGGTTTCAACGTGACTCTATGACTCTATGCATGGTCACTTTATGTCGCAGCAGTAGTAGTAGTAGTAGTAGCAGTAGCAGTAGTAGTACTAGCAGTACCAGTACTAGTAGTAGTGATAGTAGTGGTAGTCGTAGTAGTTGTAGTAGTAGTCGTCGTCGCGTAGTCGCAGTCGTGGTCGTAGTAGTAGTAGTAGTAGTTGTTGTTGTAGTTGTAGTTGTTGTTGTGGTAGTAGTAGTAGTAGTAGTAGTAGTAGTAGTAGCAGTAGTAGCAGTAGCAGTAGTAGTAGTAGTAGTGGTAGTAGTAGTAGTAGTAGTAGTAGTACTACTACTAGTAGTAATAGCAGTAGTAGTAGTAGTAGTATTCTTTTGTAGTAGTGGTAGTAGTAGCAGTAGTAGTAGTAATAATAGTTGTAGTAGTGGTAGTGGTAGTAGTAGTACTAGTACTAGTTCGAACACTCGACAACGCCAATTTCTGTGAAGGGTTGCAAGTTTCACCTCAATGCACATCAGAAGTAATAACTTTACCTCGCGTTCGAACACTCGACAACGCCAATCTGTGTGAAGGGTTGCAAAATTCATCTCAATGCACATCAAAAATTGCAACTTTACCTCGCGTTCGAACACTCGACCACGCCAATCCCTGTGAAGGGTTGCAAAATTCATTTCAATGCACATCAAAAAATGCAACTTTGCCTCGCGTTCGAACACTCGACCACGCCAATCCCTGTGAAGGGTTGCAAAATTCATCTCAATGCACATAAAAAATTGCAACTTTACCTCGCGTTCGAACACTCGACCACGCCAATCCCTGTGAAGGGTTGCAAAATTCATTTCAATGCACATCAAAAAATGCAACTTTACCTAGCGTTCGTGCATTCGACCATGCCAATCCCTGTGAACGGTTGCAAAATGCCAATCCCTGTGAAAAGTTGCAAAATGCAGTTGAGCTGCGCCCAAACCCTGTGAAGGGTTGCGCGGCGCCCGCAAAATGTGTAACTTTACTTCGCGTTTGAACACCCGAGGAAGCGAATCCCTGTGAAGGGTTGCGCCGGAACCCTAAAATGTGTAACTTTACCTCGCGTTTGAACGCCCGAGGATGCGAATCCCTGTGAAGGGTTGCGCGGCGCGCCTAAAATGTGTAACTTTACCTAGCGTTTGGGCCCTCGCCCATGCCAATCCCTGTGAAGGGTTCACCCGGGCGCCTAAAATGTGTAACTTTACCTCGCGTTTGAACGCCCGAGGCAGCGAATCCCTGTGAAGGGTTGCCCGGGCGCCTAAAATGTGTAACTTTACCTAGCGTTTGGGCGCTCGAGGAGGCGAATCCCTGGGAAGGGTTGCGCCGGGCGCCTAAAATGTGTAACTTTACCTAGCGTTTGGGCGCTCGAGGAGGCGAATCCTTGGGAAGGGTTGCGCGGGCGCCTAAAATGTGTAACTTTACCTAGCGTTTGGGCGCTCGAGGAGGCGAATCCCTGGGAAGGGTTGCGCGGAACCCTAAAATGTGTAACTTTACCTAGCGTTTGGGCGCTCGAGGAGGCGAATCCTTGGGAAGGGTTGCATTCCCGATGGACGACGACGGTGCCACCCCTGGCTTTAGAAGAGAGAGATACCGAGATGTAGAGAGTATGTAGAGAGGTAGAGAGTAAGTCAGAGTAAGTCAGAGAGTAAGTCAGAGAGTAAGTCACAGAGTAAATCACAGAGTAAGTCAAGAGTAGTCACGAGATGTAGAGAGTATGTAGAGAGGTAGAGAGTAAGTCAGAGAGTAAGTCAGAGAGTAAGTCAGAGAGTAAGTCAGAGAGTAAGTCACAGAGTAAGTCACAGAGTAAATCACAGAGTAAGTCAAGAGTAAGTCACGAGATGTAGAGAGTATGTAGAGAGGTACAGAGTAAGTCAGAGAGTAAGTCAGAGAGTAAGTAAGTCAGAGAGTAAGTCACAGAGTAAGTCACAGAGTAAGTCAAGAGTAAGTCACAGAGTAAGTCACAGAGTAAGTCACAGAGTAAGTCACAAGTAAGTAAGTAAGTATCAAGTGTAGAGTCAAGTATCAAGTGTAGAGTAAAGTATGGAGTCAAGTAAGTTGATTCTATGTCTGTCATCTATGTACTCAACTGCGGCGTTCCACACGGAAGAACCCTTCGCGAAGCTTTCGGGAAAAATGTGTAACTTTACCTAGCGTTTGGGCCCTCGCCCATGCCAATCCCTGTGAAGGGTTCACCCGGACGCCTAAAATGTGTAACTTTACCTCGCGTTTGAACGCCCGAGGCAGCGAATCCCTGTGAAGGGTTCACCCGGGCGCCTAAAATGTGTAACTTTACCTCGCGTTTGAACGCCCGAGGCAGCGAATCCCTGGGAAGGGTTGCGCGGGCCCTAAAATGTGTAACTTTACCTCGCGTTTGAACGCCCGAGGAGGCGAATCCCTGGGAAGGGTTGCATTCCCGATGGACGACAACGGTGCCACCCCCTGGCTTTAGAAGAGAGAATTAGATACCGAGATGTAGAGAGTAAGTCATAGAGGCATAGAGTCAAGTAAGTAAGTAAGTAATAAGTAAGCAAGTAAAAGTAAGTCAAGTAAGTAAGTAAGTAAGTAAGTAAGTAAGTAAGTATAAGTAAGTATAAGTAAGTATAGAGATAGCATAACATAGAGTCCAGTGTCAAGTGTCAGGTAAGTTAGTAAGTAGATTGAAGTAAGTAAGTAAGTAAGTAAGTCGTAAGCATAACATAGAGTCAAGTATCAAGTGTAGAGTCAAGTATCATAGAGTCAAGTGTCAAGTGTAGAGAGTCAGTCATAGAGGTCAAGTAAGTAAGTAAGTATAAAGTGTAGAGTCAAGTATCAAGTGTAGAGTAAAGTATGGAGTCAAGTAAGTTGATTCTATGTCTGTCATCTATGTACTCAGCTGCGGCGTTCCACACGGAAGAACCCTTCGCGATGCTTTCGGGAAAAAATGTGTAACTTTACCTAGCGTTTGGGCCCTCGCCCATGCCAATCCCTGTGAAGGGTTCACCCGGGCGCCTAAAATGTGTAACTTTACCTCGCGTTTGAACGCCCGAGGCAGCGAATCCCTGTGAAGGGTTCACCCGGGCGCCTAAAATGTGTAACTTTACCTCGCGTTTGAACGCCCGAGGCAGCGAATCCCTGTGAAGGGTTCACCCGGGCGCCTAAAATGTGTAACTTTACCTCGGCGTTTGAACGCCCGAGGAGGCGAATCCCTGGGAAGGGTTGCATTCCCGATGGACGACAACGGTGCCACCCCCTGGCTTTAAAAGAGAGAATTAGATACCGAGATGTAGAGAGTAAGTCATAGAGGCATAGAGTCAAGTAAGTAGAGGCATAGAGTCAAGTAAGTAAGTAAGTAAGTAAGTAAGTAAAAGTAAGTAAGTAGGTAAGTAAGTAAGTAACTAAGCAAGTCAAGTAAGTAAGTATAAGTAAGTATAAGTAAGTATAAGTAAGTATAAGTAAGTATAAGTAAGTATAAGTAAGTATAGAGATAGCATATAGAGTCCAGTGTCAAGTGTCAAGTAAGTTAGTAAGTAGATTGTAAGTAAGTAAGTAAGTAAGTCGTAAGCATAACATAGAGTCAAGTATCAAGTGTAGAGTCAAGTATCATAGAGTCAAGTGTCAAGTGTAGAGAGTCAGTCATAGAGGTCAAGTAAGTAAGTAAGTATCAAGTGTAGAGTCAAGTATCAAGTGTAGAGTAAAGTATGGAGTCAAGTAAGTTGATTCTATGTCTGTCATCTATGTACTCAGCTGCGGCGTTCCACACGGAAGAACCCTTCGCGATGCTTTCGGGAAAACAATCTTTGGATTGTTGGATCACCGGTGCACTCCAAAGGTGACTGTGCACAGGGTTGCACAGGAAACAAGGGATGCGATGCTCAGCAGCCCAACGAGCAAGCTGAACAGTGGCCTCAATGGCCTGGTTGGCCAACTCCGTGCGGCGTTTGAGGCCAAAACCCAAGCCTGGAAGACCCATGGGATGAGCTGCAGACCTTAGCTGTTTTGGCCCACCTGAGCGCAGCGCCTTGAGGCGACGGTCCCTAGCACGAGAAGTGGTGCTAGCATCAGGCACAACCCACAAGCACAGGATGCGCTGGCGCACAGAATGTAAAAGCTGTATGAAGTCTGCGACCTGTGATGCATCAGCAAGGTCAAGAGGGCACGAATGTATCCCCGAAGCCTTACTAGCGCGACAGCCGACAGGCAAAATGCCCAAAGAATGTTTGCGAGCAACACTACAAAGTTGCGCTCCATGTTCCGAAATTTCCACAACGAGAAGATCCGAGAAGGAAAACTGTTCAAAAATCAGCAAATTCGAAGCCTTCCGACATGGGGCCTCCCATGCAGCTCCGACTTCAGAAGCATTGACGACTCCGTGTTCTAGTCACTCTTTCGAACGACAAGAAGTCAAGCCGTGGTTGGCACGAAAGCATTTGCAGCACACATGCAAGCCTTTGTTACATCCGGGGAGCCCGGGAACAGCGTTGTTGTTGACATCTCGATTGCAGCCTTCAGCACAATTGAAAGCCCAACAAATCGGCTTGCCAGACGAATGCTTACACGAGAAGTCCTTGAGCGATGCGGGCTTGCTTGCTTTCTTAGGCTGGGGTTTGGCCTTCTTCTTGGGGCGAACAGCCGGCTTAGAAGGAGCGGCATGACCCAGCTCAGCCTGCAACGCACCGGATGAGGGACGAGACACGTCCGGCTTCGAACTGGATCCAGAACCTCGCAGCGGCAGTAAGAACTGAGCGATCCGAGGATGTGTGGTGAGGCGTTCGATGACTGCATCACATGGGGAGACACCCATGGTATTGACCTTATAAGGCCCGGGGAACGAAACAGCAAGTCTAGCAAACAGCAAAATGCAACTAGAAGCAAGGCGGAGGCAAGGAATGTTGCAAATGGGTCCTCTGCTAAAAGAGCAAAAAAAATCTGGCGAGAGCCAGGTGAGCCCATGTCGTGCATGAGGGGGTTTTGGAGTTAAGCACCGTGCACAAATTCCGAACCGTCAGCCACACCTCTCGATACCATAACTCTGCACAGCTCAAGAAGTCCTGTTCAGATCTGGTGGAGATACCTTCCAGAAAATTCCGCCGCTCTTGTATGATCTGTTCCGGCCGACCTTCTCGATACCATAACTCTGCATGGCTTGATCTGCTCTGTTCAGAAATGCTAGAGTCACCTCTGCAAAAATTCCCCTGTCTTTGTACGATCTCAAAGCTGCACAGTTATGGGGCTGTCGGGCGACCCCATTTTAAGGCCCGCAAAACACAAGCAATTCTGGCTTCGCCAGGTCGGCCCAGTCCCGGGCCAATAAGGTCCACAGCTCCCGATCAGCTCGTACAACCTGAGCAGCGCCAATGGCTGAATAGCCCGGGGGAGGCGCCTCGCACATAGCTTCCATGAGGGTTGTGACCCATTTCTGGTGAATTTCCCATGACAGCAACCGACATTGATCAAAGGCGACTCCGCGCCTCATAAGCGCCCACTGCAAACGAAGCTCAGTGCTAGTATCAGCTTTGGCAGGCTCATGCGGCACAACAACAAGAGACTGTTTCTCACGCGATATAACAGATTTGGCCTCAACCTTTGAAACTGACTGAATCTCAGCATCCCGCTTAGAGCACTTGCTGGGTGATATCCAAGTCATGACGGAAGTTTCATAGATTGTGTTCGCCATGTCGCAGAGTGCATGGCTGGGGCACAACTCACCTGTCAGCTCCAAACCCCTCAGACGCCTCTGTTGAGCTGCCAACCGGGCTCGGCGCTCAGCGGGAGGAATCCGCTTTATGTGTGCACCCTCAGGGCCCTCCGTTCCTGTGACATGCTCCTTAAGTACCGCAACAACGAAAGCGGTGGCTTCGAAGTGCAAAGTGCGAAGATCTGCGACCTGAGACAGTGACGGCGCACCGACAAACACTTCTGAAGCAAAAGCCTGAAAATCAGCTTCACTAGGGGCAGTCTGCGGCGTGCCGATGGCGAAGGCCAGCTTGCGAAAAGATTTGATGTTCTTTGCCTCGAGAAGAGACCGGACCGCTGGAAAAAAGCAGCTTCAGACTCGACCAGCGACATGCTGCAAGGTACTTCGCTTCACTCATCTCGAGTCCAGGAGCTGAGAATCGAGCGATCGCTCGAGCATTCTTGCAGTCGCTACCCGCGCACGCCGGATCCACCAATTTCTTTTCCAAGAAGCTCGCACAATACGCCTGTATGCGACATTGGCAGCAGCATAAGAAAACGGTGGCAGCCACACTCCCAAGGTCCGGATCCCGACGTGGGGCCCACCCTCAGGCCCAGCAGCACTGCCAAGAAAACTCACCACAGCTTGCATTGGCCCGCACTCCCGCAAAAGTGCCTCCATACGCAAGCCCCAGGCGTTCACAAGAAAATCGGCACGACTTGCTAAAGGGCCCACGCCTCTGCTGAGGCGACTCCCTTAGCACGCCCTCTGCCTGGACACAGAAGCCCCTAGGCCTGTGATGTGTAACACATCAGATCCGCAGGGGACTCCTGTCCATCGCATCAAACACCTCCTGTGCGAGCCTCCTCTCCAGTGGTCCTTCGACACTGAGAGCAGACCGAGGTGTCGAAACGTACAGTCGTGGGCCTGATGTGCAAAGGTCCGACCATACGACCACATTCCAGCACTCTTTCGTCGCCTTGCTTGATGAGGTGCAACATGCGAGTCTTTTTATGCTGGAGAAAACGGTAACCTTCAGGAGCACATGGAACTGTGAGCCTACGAACTTGAGGCACTTCCAGGTCCGAAGATTCGCTCCCGGAGCTGTCTGTGGTGACATGTTCCGAATCCGCAGCTCGCTCGGTAGCAGCTGCCTCCTGTTCGTCTTCTGATCCCAAGATTTCAACAGCTCCATCCCCGAAATCACTGGCGAGCTCAGTCTTGTCAGCCTCTGGCCCAGCTCTAATGCGAAGGTCCCCCGCTGCAGACTGATTCTCTCCCGGGAGAGGTGCATGCTCCAGAATCTCACGTGCCGGGCCCTTAAGACGCCCGGACCGCGTACTGTCAGGGAGGTAGAAACCACTCCGGATTTCCTGAAGCATCACTTCTAGCAGTCGCAAACTCCTTGCAGCACCATCCCTAGAGTACACCAGCGCCATGCGCCCTGGCACTGAATGGTACCCCATCTGGAGCCGGTCCTCAATCGAATAGCCACGCTTAGCAGCCATCGAAAGAAGTGTTGCCTTGAAAGAGTGGCTCGTGATCTTGTTGGGACAGCCTTCAGCAGGTTCACAATCCAGGAGGCGACGAACCCACTTCCCAGCCTCCGAAGAAGAAAGAGGCCTGCTGAGAGGTTTTCCCTCTTGATTCGGAGCAGGCATTAGACAGTGACCTGGCGGATTGTCTATGCCAAGCTGTTTCCGAACTCGCATCCAAGTCGAGACCCATTCTTTGTCAGCGACGCCCAAGGCAATGGATACGATTGGTAAAAACTGGAATCGGTGCTGAGATGAGTGCATCGTTTTTATGACTGGCCACGGTAATTTCCAAGTATGCGATGTCGCCTAGGGTGTCATAGTCCAAGGCCCACCTGCACACATGCTGCGCGTCGCCCCACCTACTGCGGGCGTAGACCACACAAAGTGTGGCGCCGCAGAACAATCTGTTCCACAAGTCCTCGCCCTCGCTGTCAAGCCTCCTGTGGAGCTCCAACAGCTGCTGGACTGTAAGCGGTTGGGCCTGCTTCCTGTCCCTAGGCTCGTCCGATTTAGTGGCGCCCAAACAGCGACGGCTAGCAGTAGCAAGTTCAAGACCTGCCACGCCCAACACAAATCTCGAGAAGACAATGGCTTCGTGATAGCCTTTCAACCTGGAGGCAGGAGCACCTAGGGCCCTTTCTGCTGGAAGGAATTCGTAAAAGAGTTTCTCACTGATAGGATAGGCCGGCGCGCCTTTCTCCTGCAACCAGTTGGCAACTTTCGCCAAAGCCTTTGCCCTCTTGAGCAGAGTCGACGGTGCACGACCTCGGAAGAAGTCTTCCAACAGTCCAATCTGCCCTTGCACGGAGTCCTCCTCGCACAGCATCTGTTTCACCTCGCAGTCAACATCCCACCGAAGAATCGTATGGAGCCACAGTTTAACAGATCTGTCAAAATCAAGAGTCCTCTGCTCTTCCCACGAGACATCCAAAGACTGCGACACAACAGCCATGAAAACTCTGTCTTGCCGGGGCTTCGAAGAAAGAGAAAACAAACCCGAAGAAGCGGGCACCAAGGACTCCTCTGGTTGCCCCCAATCGGCTGCACAGGCCTGTTGAATGCAGGAGTTACCTGCTGCAACCAGTCACCGGAAGCAGAAGCGCCAAACAGCGCACTCCAGACTCCTGATTCCCAAGGAAGTGACAGCGTAGCCTTCGCCGGTACTGCATGAAAAGCAGCCGACAGAGCAGTCTGATACCCTTCAGCAGTAACACGAGGCGAGGCTGCAGGCACCGAAGGATGCTGTTCAACAAGACTCCACTGAGATTGCTTTTGATGGCTCTCGACATCAGATAGCACAAAATCCTCGGCAACTTGCTTGTACCATTGCACTTCAGCACTCGCATCGTCCTCAGAAGCAGCAGCCTCAACCCCAGGTTGAGAAGCATCCTCAGACACGGCCTGGAAGTCCTCGCCCGAGTCCAGCAGAAGCCAAGGATTGAGAGGTCGCCTTTCAGCCGTATCACAATCCTGATTGGAATGACTAAGCTGATCACCGAAGTCTCCCCCATCAATCTGAAGATCAGCGGAAAGTTCGCTCTCCAAGGCAGCTAGGTCAGCATCCTCCAAAACGGAGGGGTCCAT